TCGTGGTCATGTCTTGTGTGGAATTCCATAACAGTTCTCAGGATTTAATATTATTGAGAGATTTAGACATCCTTACAGACTGAAGGTACATATTTTATCAGTTCAGACAATATATAATTGTATGCCAGTGCTATTTCTCAGATATTGCATCTTTTCAGAATCAGTGATGTGCAGGAATGGACAAAAAGAGCCTGCAAAATCATTAACTATTTTAAGGATTAATAACAACCCTAATCAAAATAAACCATCGATCAATACAACACTCCAGCAAACAGATGTTGTGTTTTATTTTCAAAGCTGTCAATGTTAACCTAATTAACCTGATTCTCTTCTGTTTTTCTCCACAGAAGGGAAACACTCTGCGTCCCATTGATGCTGAAGTAAAGGTAGGACATATACCGGATCTTAAATCACACTATACATTACCATACATAAGTGTCTGGAGTCAGTAATAATATAATATAATATAATATAATATAATATAATATAATATAATATAATATAATATAATATAATATAATATAATATAACATAATATAATATAATATAATATAATATAATATAATATAATATAACAATATAATACAATATAATACAATACAATATAATACAATACAATATAATACAATACAATAAAAAATAATATATATTAGGTAATATATATCAGGCAAGATGAATTAAATTGAATCAAAAGTGACAGTAAAGATGATGATATTATTGAACATGATTATTGACATCTTTTCAGAGAAAACTTGCAACGATAGGTCAAATCAGGTCAATCAAGGCCCTTTTGACATTTCAATTGCAGCAGAACACTTAATTTGTAGTCTAGAAAATATGGTACACAAAATTATTTTAACTTGAACATCTTTGTTTTAACGAATTGGTAAACGAAAATTTCCTCTTTCAAAACTTGTATTAAAACATATATGTTTACATGTGGGTAAGAATTTGCCGAAGATATCACTGGAAAAATCAGCCAATCAGCTTTAACAAAGCTCAAGCAAACGGGCAGACAGAACTGAACATGTTAATTTGGTGCTGACAGCCTAGTGGTCATTGTGTCAACATACAGTATACAGTATAGCACAACAGGGCTACAGGCATCCTAAGCTGAATACTTTTTCCAATCCCATCACCCTACTCTCTCCAACTTCCCTTCCTGTCAATATATCTACCCTCACATCATAAAAAAGTGTGTTTAGATGTGATTTGCTATCAGTCTTGGTGTGAATAGAGCATATTTCCCTTTGTGTCTGTGTTTATGATTGGATGATGAAGAGCTCCTGCTTGTCTTGCACTTGCCATTTTTGCTGGTTTGCAATGTTACGTGTCACCAAGGAGGAGCAAAACTGCTTCCATTGAGTTTTGCTTATATGTGCATTTATCTTCCTCCACTCATTTTTCATATCCACATCTCCCTCCTTTACCACCTCATTCTTTCTTTAGTGCTGCTTCAGCATTTTAAGAAGTGTCAGATTAGACAACCAATAAGTGCATCAAATTTAAAAGGACTTTAACTTCATTCAACATTTGAGCAAGTATTGTACAGTGTCAAAATTATCTCCTTACCTCAGCCTGATTCACAATACTAACCTTGTAATAATGTTATCTAATTTCAGAGGTACTGGTAGGTTTTCACAGGAAACATGAGCTTGTGTCATTATATTACATCCTCATCAAGGACGCCTGGCTACTAGGCTGTTTTAACAAAATCTCACTGCAATTAATTACTTTTTTGATTTAGTGGCTAATTCATTTAATTTGTATGATCTTGTTTGTATATCTAATATGATTTGATTATCCCCCAATGATGATTGGGCTTAGGGGTGTGGTTTGGTGCATGCATCCTTTTTAAATAAATTTAAATGTATGAATTTTTATGAATTAGCCACTTGTTTAACGATACGCAATATAGCTTTGTTTGTCCAATGCGCCAATAACCTAGTGATAAAGTGGGTTGACATATAGTTAGTACAAATGGTGGGCTGAGTTTGATTCCCGGCTTAAAGTCCTTCCCCTCTCTCTGCTTCCTACACATTCCTGTCTACACTTTCCTTTCCAAATAAAGGCGAAAACCCCTAAATATACATACTAAAAAACAAGAAAGAGTTACTTTCCTTGCTATTTTCGATTTGTAAATGTTGCAGGCAGGAATACATTTATATATTTTTCTTTCAAAGCAGCTAATTAAACTAAATGTGCAGTGTGTAAGATTTACACGCAGTTATTGAACTAGGTTTTGCACTCCAAATTCAAAACATTTTCACCCAGCCCGTCCTCCGACAACTGCTAACCAACGCAGGTTGCCAGATTGACAACACTAACAGGAGTGAGCTAGCCTGACTATCAAGCCTAAAACATAACTACACGTGACGTGACAACATATTTCCATGTTAAAATAGATTTTTGTCCTAACCTTCAGCTGAACTTGTTATTGTAAAAATGGTCTCTGAAACGTCTGTGACAATGATCACCTCAGGTACTGATTATGTGCTTTATTGAATGTTGAATGCTATCAATGTAACATTTTACATGACATTTATTGTACTATTGAAAGCAGCAGCAGTTTACCTCAGATCTTTACAATACATATAAAGTCTGAAATTAAACGTTGAACTTCAAACTTTGTCACCCAGAATGTACTTTTAATAATGTTAATGTAAAATATGTATAAATGAGATTCTAAACCTTACTATTTTATTGGAATGACGTGAATTATTCTGTGCCTCTGAAAGGCTGTATTTAACTTATCAATTCTTTTATATATAAATAGCACATCTTGTATGTACTGCCTCTTCTTGTTTAATCACTGAATACCTCCTGTAAGTCACTTTGGACAAAAAAAAAAAAAAAAAAAAAATATATATATATATATATATATATATATATATATATATATATATATATATATATATATATATATATATAATGCTATATGAATAAATGTAAATGTAACACAAATAAGAACAAGGTAGCAGACATGTTTGCCTAGTTATTTAGAGGACATTTTCAGGAGAAAAAACGTAATTGGGTCATATTTCCAAGATGTAAAATCGATTAATCTGGAGAACAGTATTCGCACTGACAGGCATGCATAGTCCTCTAAACATTAGATTCTTCCATGTAAAGATATTAATGAAATTTCAAACAAAGATGCAACAAAAAAGACAAAACTGAAATCTTAAAGATTGAATTGAAGTGGCATTTACTCTATATGGTAACCATTTCTTGTGTTTCACTGAATGCAGCTGAAAGGGAGAAGAACATCTCACCTGTCCCAGGACAAGGATGGCCAGCCTCATGATCCTCTGCTGCTTCAGGTGGTGCGGAAGGGGCACAGGAGGAGGCTGGGTGCTGCCGCCGGCCAGGCTCGACTCATGGCCATCACAGACTGTGTGGACAACGGCACACAGACCGACATCAGCTTCCAGAACTTCCTGAATGGGGACAGAGGGTCTTATTTAAGCAGTGGATCACCAAAGCCTCCACACTCCCCACTTCTTGCCCTGCTGGTGGAGCCGTACCTGCTGAATGAGCTGTGAGAGTCTTCAACGTCCTCTTGATCTCTTTACTGCTTGTATAGAGCTGTGAATGTTACATGTGCTGAAAACCTGATGAAGAAGTGTGTCTCTTTTCACAGTGGTTCTCTGGGGCAGGAGTATAGCGATACAAACGACTACTTCAGTGTGACCAACCATGAGGCGGATCAACAAGAAGAGCTGGAATATGAGGTGAGAGCACCAACAAATCGTAACAACATTACATTAAACAAATAAAAATAAATAAGTCAAACTTAAATAACTTTGATTGTTTTACAATAAGAAAACCTTAAAGAAATATATTAAAAAGTGTAGACATTATGGTAAAACACAAAAATTATTTTTTTTGTGTTATAATTTAATTATGTGTTATAATTTTGTATTATAATTTGTATACATGGACCACAAAACCACAAATAAATTTTTTGGAAGTTGAGATAAATGTTATAAGTTGAACAAATAAGCTTTACATTTATCTTTGTTTGGATAGGATAGTATTTGGCCAAGACACAAAAATTAATACATATATAAGACACATAAAAAACAGGAATCTGATGATTCAAAAAAACTAAACGTTGAGAAAATCTTTTCAAATTGTCGAAATTAGGTTATTAGCAGTGCACAATACTGTTTAAATATGGATTTTGATATAGTTATGGTAGAAAATTGACAAAATATTTTCATGGAACATTACCTTAATTAATGCTTTCATGTTTTTTTTTGTCATAAAAAAAATAATTTCTATCATTTTGAATTATACAATACTTTTTTATGGTTCAGGTCAGATTAAAATGGAGAAGCAGACATACATTCAAGTATTTTTTTTCAAATATTACAACTACTACTACTATCACTAATAATAAATAAATAAATAAATAAAAAAGCAGAAAACGATTTTTTTCTTATGTCGAGATCACAGGAAAATTGAGCCATGATCAAAGAAAACAACTTTTCATTTAATTTTATTAATAAAAATAAGTCGAAAAACAAGTCTTAATCACGAGTAAAGGAGTTCTTATGTCAAGATCATAATTCATTCTGTGCTTTATATTTCATATCTATATATAGTCTTATTTTTTAAACAATGTATGTTCTTAATTGTTTGTTCCTAACAGTTTTGTTTATTTTATTTATTTATTTTATTGCCTGCTTGCAACATTGTAGCACATTCTTTTCCCAAGACATACTTCCTTTCGAGGACAAATAAAGTTTATCCTATCCTATCCTATCCTATCCTATCCTATCCTATCCTATACTATCATGAGGTAATTAAGCTGTGATCACAAGAAAACAAATATTTGAAAGCATGGCCTTAGGTTGTAGACTTCCGTAGATTTAAAATACAGTATTAAGGCAATAATATTATTTTTTCAAAACTCGTTTTTATGTACAGTACCTATATGTATTGAATTGCTAAAACACACACACACACACACACACAATTACACTCACCGGCCACTTTATTAGGTAAACCTTACTAGTACAGGGTTGGTCCCCTTTCGCCTTTAGAACGGCCTTAATCCTTTATGGCTAGGGTGACCCACCCTGTTCCTGGAGATCTACTTTCCTGCAGATTTCAGTTGCAACCCATATCAAACTCACCTGCCTGTAATTATCAAGTGCTGTTCAGGTCCTAATTAATTGGTTCAGGTGTGTTTGATCAAGGTTGGAGCTAAACTCTGCAGGAAGGTAGATCTCCAGGAACAGGGTTGAGCACCCCTGCTTTATAGCATAGACTCAACAAGGTACTGGAAACATTCCTAAGAGATTTTGGTCCATATTGACATGATAGCATCACACAGTTGCTGCAAATTTGTTGGCTGCACATCCATGATGCAAATCTTCCGTTCCACCACATCTCAAAGGTACTTTTGGATTGACTTCTGGTGACTGTGGAGGCCATTTGAGATCAGTGAACTGTCATGTTCAAGAAACCAGTCTGAAATTATTTGTGCTTTATGACATGGTGCGTTATCCTGGTAGAAGTAGCCATCAGAAGATGAGTACACTGTGGTCATAAAGAAAAGGACATGGTCAGCAACTATACTCGGGTAGGCTGTGATGTTGACACAATGCTGAACTGGTACTAATGGGCCCAAAGTGTGCTAAGAAAATATCCCTACACCACTAGTCTGAATGTTTGATACAAGGAAGGATGGATCCATGCTTCCATGTTGTTGACGCCAGATTTTGACCCTACCATCCAAATGTAGCAGCAGAAATCGAGACTCAGACCAGGCGATGCTTTTCCAATCTTCTATTGCCTAATTTTAGTGAGCCTGTGCAAAATGTAGCCTCTGTGAAAATCCCAGTAGATTAGCAGTTTCTGAAATACTCAGACCAGCCCATCTGGCACCAACAACCATGCCACGTTCAAAGTCAGTTAAATCACCTTTCTTCCCCATTCTGATGCTCAGTTTAAACTGCAGCAGATTGTCTTGACCATGTCTACATGCCTAAATGCACTGAGTTGCTGTCATGTGATTGACTAAAAAGAAACTTGCATTAACTACCAGTTGGACAAGCGTACCTAATAAATTAACCGTTGAGTGTATTTTATATTAAAAGACTAAATCCTGTCAATGCAGAAAAAGGCAATCTGCTTGTATTGGGAAATTATTGAGTTGCTAAATTAAAATTTAGACAATATATGCTGTTTCTTTCACACTCTAAGGAACAAAATTTATGTGTTTAAAAAAGCAACATTACAGCACAATAGCACAGCCAGCAGCACCTCATACATCTGCTTTGGCTGGCTGCATCTTTAAAGCAGAGGGTTTAATCTTTGCCCCATGAGCAGCTCTTCCTCTCTGTCTCTGTCAGGAGGTGGAGCTCTATAAGTCGAGTCAGCAAGATAAACTGGGGCTAACAGTCTGTTACCGAACGGACGATGAGGAAGACCAAGGCATCTATGTTGGGGAGGTGAGTTAACACATCAGGCCAGATAAATTATTTCAGTGCTCAGAACAACAGTCTGTCATACATAACATTCAAATGAGATATTCAAGTGGACATTTCAACTTAGGTGAATCCAAACAGCATAGCAGCAAAAGATGGAAGAATCAGGAAGGGGGATCGGATATTACAGGTATGTTTACAGCTCAGATGTGCTGTTAGAGGGAAATGATAATAATCAGAAATGGACTGACATGATTGTGTCATTGTTCATCTGGGATGCAGGTCAAGTGAGACAGTCAGCCGATAATTGCTGTGACTTTTAGCGCGGCCCACGTAATTGCTCTGGAGAATAATTACAGAACAGCAAACACAAAGTGTCACATTTCCATTGTCTTGACAAGTTCTTCATCTATTCTGAATTCTGATGGGACACTGACACATTCATTACCAAAGAGCTCATGAAACAAACATTGATGATTTGATGGTATATTTTTTTTTGTGTAAAGTAACTTATTACAAATACTCAAATTACTGTAATAGAGTAGTTTTTTCAGGATTTGAAATTTACTGCATTAAGTAATTTTACAAATAAGCACTTTTACTTTCACTTGAGTTCATTTGTAATACTGTATTGGTACTTTTACTCAACTATTTTCCTTCAACCTGCACTCACTACTTTATTTTTTCTTCTCTATGAGGATTGGTTAATTAGAAAAATCCAATCAAATATCTTATAGAAAGTAAATCGTATCCTACTGAAAAACCTCAAGACATGGACGCTTTATAAATGAAGCAAACTGTTTGGAAGCATTAAAAATGTCCAAAAATTTTTACACACAATGACCAAAAGACTGCATCTCACTGATGAGAAGATAATAATTGCCTACTGTATGATGACTGAAATCACAAAATGGCCTTAAACAATAATTAAGTGCACTACAGAATGTGACGTTGTCAACCACACACATGACAAATAGCATGTAAATGCTTAAACTTTTCACAGTGTAATACTCGCTACTTGAGTACTTGTAAAAGGGCTACATTTTTCTCATATTTTGAGTAATATTTAAAACAGATACCTTTACTCTACTTGCACCAGTTTTTTTGGAAAAGTAATTGTACTTTTACTTGAGTATAATTTTTCATTACTCTTTCCACCACTGGAAAAGACCTGATACTTTATGTTTATGCATGGTGTCAAATTATTCTCTGTCTCACATTAGATCAATGGAATAGAAGTCCAAAACCGAGAGGAAGCAGTGGCCATCCTGACTCGTGAAGACAGTACCAACTTCTCTTTACTGCTGGCCAGACCAGAGATAGAGGTAAAGACATATAACATGCAATAGAACACTTTTACTCAACGCCTTTTTAGTTTTTATGATCATTTTTGTGTTTCCAAAAATATTTATACACACACAGTGTTGAAGTCAGAATTATTAGCCCCCTTTGAATTATTTTTTCTTTTTTTTTAATATTTCCCAAATGATGTTTAACAGAGCAAAGACATTTTCACAGTGTCTAATAATATTGTTTCTTATGGAGAAAGTCTTATTTAATGTATTTTAGCTAGAATAAAAGCAGTTTTTAATTTTAAAAACATTTTATGGTCAAAATTATTAGCCTCTTTATCGTATATTTTTTGATAGTCTACAGAACAAACGTCATACAATAACTTGCCTAATTACCCTAACCTGCCTAGTTACCCTAATTAATCCAGATAAGCCTTTAAATGACACTTTAAGCTGTATAGAAGTGTCTTGAAAAATTTAGTAAAATATTGTCATCATGGCAAAGATAAAATAAATCAGTTATTAGAAATGAGTTATTAAAACTATTATGTTTAGAAATGTGTTGAAAAAAATCTGCTCTCTGTTTAACAGAAATTAGGGGAAAAAATATACGGGGGCTAATAACTCAGGGGGGCTAATAATTCTGACTTTAACTGTATATATATTCAATACGACAATCCAAATGAACTAGTTTCATAAAAAAAATATTAAAATGGAATTTATTGAAACTAACACACTTAATTACTGTTAGATCACAGTTTTACAGTTAAAAAGACACTGCTGTCTTCATGTAAGATTCTGGTTATAGGCATTTCTGTTAACCAGGAAAACAAATGTTGCTTTAATCCACACAGTCAAAAGATTATAACAATATAAAAAATGAAATATTGATGAAGCATAAATTAAGGAAAATCCATTAATTTATTCATTTTCTTTTCTGCTTAGTCCCTTTATTAATCTGGGGTCGCCACAGCGGAATGAACCACCAACTTATCCAGCATATGTTTTACGCAGGACATGCCCTTCCAGCTGCACACACTACAGTCAATTTTAGCATACCCAATTTACCAATAGCGCATGTCTTTGGACTGTAGGAAACTAAAGCACCCAGAGGAAAGCCATGCAAACATGGGGAGAACATGCAAACTCACATAGAAATGCCAACTGAACCAGCCGAGGCTTTCCAGCGACCAGCGACCTTCTTGCTGTGAGGCGATCGTACCCACTACTCCACCGAATCATCATTAAGACAAATATTAATAATAAAATATAAAAACATGATACAATGACAAATAATCATTAATAATCATAATTAAATCACTAACTAATGATCAATAAAATGATAATTATATAAATCAGTAATGATCATATGGTTAAACAAAATAAAGAATAGATCAATATAAACAAATGAAAATAAAACAACACAAATAAATGATGGTTTTCTAGAAACAACACACATAAGTTTGCTACAAGGAATCTTAATTCTATATCTTTAGTTAGATTCTTCAATACTAACACAGACTGTAGCAACTTCAAAGGCTCCTTCTCCTCTTTTGTCTTTTCTATCCTCTTGGTAACAACTACCAGAATTCTTATACTTTTAAAAGTATATTTCTATCTCCTATATAAGAAAGGCTAAGGGAAACCCTTGGAGACAAAGCAGACACTGAAATGCAATATAACTATGATCTCCACGAAATCATCCTCACATCCTCTGAGCAATAAAATGGTCCTCTAGGCACGCACAATTCCAGCACACACACACAAGCACAAAAATAGGCTTTTTGAGGCACATGCAAAGTTAATGGACCCGCTCTGTCCCCAACGACAGCATATCCTAAAATTAATGGCTTATTTTGCTGAAGGAAGGGAAACAGAAGTCTCACATCACTCAATGTCTCAATCATGTGATCACTCTTAGTGATGGGCGTCAAGGATTTGTGGCAGTTCCATTAACACTATTCCACAAGGAGACGAAGAGTGAGAGGGAACAAAGCTGCTTTACAGAATATGCACCATTAGAAAGGAAGGAGAGTAATTGAAAGAATTGATGGAAGGTTTGAGAGAGAAAGAGATCAAATCAAGGGGTACGAGTAAGGTACTGTTTACTAGGCAGAGATTTTTTCAAGTCAGCCTTTTCCAAGGACATAGCATTTCATATGCCTGTATACACACATATATATTTCATCTATAACAGTTTTTATTCTGCCTAATTTATATCTGTTTATTTTTATCATGAATTTCTCACTACTGCTGCAGTCATTACTTATTTGCTTAGCAGAAATGACTCACAAATAAAAACAAAAATACAAACAGAAGCCCTTAATCTGATCTTACAGCCATCTCTGTTAAAGTTAATCTAATTTTATACTAAATAAAGTTAAATTGCATTTACTCTCGCTCTGCTTGTATATAAACATCTCTAAATGAGCACCAATCCAGAGCTGTAAATATGGTTCTTGAAATGTATGACTTTGTATCATCAATTTTTCGGCAATTCCTGGCGACTTAGTGGAGATATTGAAAAAAATGGCTGTTGGTTATTGTGTGGAGCCGGCAAAAATCATCTATCATGAGCAGAGCCGTCAGCTAATGAATAAAACAGGGAGCTCATTCCAGCCAACGCACAGCACTAACAAGATCAGAACAAAAAAGGGGCCATTTTGTATCTTTCACACTACAAATACCCTCCCAGCAAAAGAAAATGATTAATGACAAACTGAAGAGCAGAAACAAGAGAGCTGTCAGATCAGGAGAGAGAATGAGAGATAGTGATGGAGAAATGGGATGGGAGGAGAGGAAAGACTGAGTAAATTAGGAGGAGAGAAAAAGAAAGAAAGAGAGAGAGAGAGAGAGAGACAGAGAGAGACGATTAAGAAGTGTCACGGAAAGACCATTAAAAAATGTTGAGCTAAAATATAATCATCAAGTGGTAATTACGATTGATTACTGGCTACCAATTGTAGACAAAAATACAAAAATATAAAAAAACAGCAGCAAACACAAAACATACATCTTGATTTTTTGCTTGGTATAAGATACTTATTACAAAAGAACATGAATAAATTACTCTAAATACCATGTCTTGTAATCCTTGTGTTGCTTTACCTCTGCAAATGTTGCTGAAATTTAAACAAGTATACGTACTGTGCCATCTAGTGTTCGTGTGTAGTATTGCAGCTTGTACTTTTATAACAATACTGTCATGGTAAACAACTAAAGCTTCACTTTCTTTTCTTCTTTCCTCCCTTGGTGGCTTTCCCCCAGACTGACACTCATTTGGACCCAGAAGAGCTTGATTGTGAGTTACCTGTAGGGATGAGTGTGGACACCCTTAATACCGCCAATCTGCCCGGCCTGTACCATTTCCGCCAACAGAGACTCCAGGCAGGCATTCCTGAGGAAGCTTTACATCGAGAGACACCCATGCTCAGCCTAGCAACCCTCAACAACAGTCAAGAGCTTGATAGTGGTGTTGGCCGAACAGATGAAAGCACAAAGAATGAAGAGTCCTCTGAGCATGACATCCTTCTGGGTGATGAGCAGACCAGCGCAACCAACACTAATGCCACCAACACGCCTGGTAGCTTGCGCAAATTTAGACCTGGCAGAGGTGGTGGAGGAGGAAGCGAGACACCATCTCCTTTGTTTCCTCTCCGAGAGCTCCACCTCAGCACGGACTCGCTGGACTGTGGAAGTGTGGGTGGAGGGTACCTTCATGATCCTGTCAGCGGGATGGTGATGCCAGGCCTGACAGAGGAGGAATGTGAGAGGTACAAGCAGCTTCTGGAAATCAAGTGTCGTTACGAGAAGAGGATTAAGAAAGTGCAGCAGGTTCAAGAAGAGCAGCAGAAAGATGGAGAGAGACAAGGGCAAGATGAGAATAGGGAGGAGGAAGGAACTCTGGATGAGAACAGTAATGAGAACCTGACTCCACACGAGATGGCACTTCTCGAAGAGGAAATGAGGCACCTTGAGTTTAAGTGCAGGAACATTCTACGAGCACAGAAGATGCAGCAGCTAAGAGAGCGCTGTTTGAAAGCCTGGCTGATGGAGGAAGAAACATCTGGCCGTGTGTCAGCAGAACCTCAGGGGTCTCCGTTGCATGAGTTATCTGATATTAATGAACTTCCTGAGAAAGAACGATCAGACAAGGACAGCACCAGTGCTTACAACACTGGGGGAGAGAGCTCCAGGAGCCCACCTATGGTGAGTGAACATCGACTTCCAGTTTCTCAGCAAGACGAGTCCACAAGTCCTCTGCCAAGCAGACACAGGGATCGGCCCATGTGGAGCGAAAGGGGACGAGCAAGCCTTAACAGCACCTATTCACCAAGCAGCTACAAGAAGTTTCAGACTATCACCCCTATGAATCAGAAGTTCTGTTCACTCTCAAGAGAAGGAACTGTTCGTCGAATGCCTGATGGGATGGCGCAGAACAGCAGTTCTAGGGTAAACAACCATACCAGGAATGGTGGTCGTAGTGCAGAGTCAAGTCCTTACTTCACTCGACGTCGTCATTCCAATTGCTTCACTCCAGAACGCTACCAGAGTTGCATGCATCTTGGATCCTCTCATTCTGAAAGCTCTGGACCTTTAGATAGAGCTGTGGAAGGAGAAAGTGAGGCACCAATTGGGGGCAGTGACCAAGAGGGACATTGTGAAAAAACCTTGGGGTCATTACCTCATCCCAGTCCAGTGAAGCTTTCTCTGGCTTTACCTTTGCCACTTTCCCCTGCCTCACCACGCATGGAGTGGAAGGTCAAGATAAGGAGCGATGGGACTCGATATGTGGCCAAACGTCCAGTCCGAGACCGGCTTTTGAAGGCCCGAGCTATGAAGATCCGTGAGGAGCGTAGTGGAATGACAACTGATGATGATGCAGTGAGTGAAATGAAGATGGGACGTTACTGGAGCAAGGAAGAGCGCAAGCAACAGCTGCTGAAAGCCAGAGAGCAGCGCAGACGCAGAGAGTTCATGATCCAGAGTCGCTTGGATTATTTGCGAGATCACGGTCTGGATGTGGGCAAGGACAGCCAGTCAGAATCAGGTCAGAACTCAGCCTCAATTTTAGAGCTCAGTCAGAAAAAGAGCTCCAAGAAGCGCAACCGACGCATACTGGACAACTGGATCACCATCCAAGAGCTTTTAGCTCATGGCTCTCGTTCACCAGATGGGACAAAAGTGTACAACCCTCTTTTGTCTGTTACCACAGTCTGAAATTAAAAGATGCTAAGGACAAAAGGGAATTAAATATCTTCTTACTTTGTAGAACTGTTTCAGGGTTCATCTGTCCACTTTATTATGGCTGCACAAAGTCTAGCGTCTACCACGCCGTTTAATGTTACTCCTTTTTTAATGAGTACTTAAAATGTAAATATCTGAAAAAGCCTAAAACAGGACCTTTATTTGAGAAGCAACATTGGAGAAGGTTAAAATTAATTTAAACTGAAACTGTTCAATTGTTCTTAAAATGTTTATACTCAAACTAATATAAATGATGAATTCACTGAAGTTTAATTTCTTATGCTTAAAGTAAATGTAACCTTCATATAAAATGCTTGGTTGGATTTTCTTGATTAATGAATGTCACGTCATATTACTTTTTAAAGTGGCATTACTGACACTTCTCGGGGTCAAGCATCTGCTTTTGAGCATTTCTACTTAACACATATGGCTGAGTGACAGAGGCACTCTTACAGATTATGAATGTTGACTGAATGGACTCACAAGCACAATGCACACATTACAAATGTGGACTTACAGCAGGACAATTGTTAAGTCATTTTTTGCAAGTAAACACAATGGAATTCATACAATAACTTCCTCGCAATGGCACAAAAGACAAAAATTCAATTTCTTAACTGCTGAATTTTTGGTTCCCATGGAAGATAATGGGTGGATGGAATAATAAGACAGCAACATCATCATATAAGTGCTTGACCTGTGCAGACACAATCATGGTAAACTTTCCTACAGAGGTGTGGTGCTGAACATTTGTACTGTTTGTTGACGATGGTCTGTTTACATATTTCTTCTGTACTGTTCATGATAACCCAAATATGACAAAAGCACAATGTAATCCACATTATGCTTTTTTTAATTTCGAATGTAAGATAATTCTTATCAATGCCCCAAGTCATCATCATGAAGATATTTTCACAACCCTATGTGGCCTAATGCGAATACATACTGATCACCAGCAAAAGGGAAAGCACAAACACTCTGGAATCCTATGAAATATAACCAGCTTAAAGAGTAAACAGATTGTACACTTTAATATACTGTTATTAGGAACATTTAACCTGAAGTGGTTAACACAACAGAGTAGTGAATACTCTAAAACTGTTCACAAAGGAATGATATACAAATTTGTCAGCATATTTGTAAGTGTTCAAAACCGTTTGAAGATTTTGTAGAAATCGGCCTTAAGACCCAGCAGGCACACAACATCATATGACGTTTTAACATTAGGTTCGATTTAGGTCATGACCAAAGTCAAGGTCAAGGTGACCAAAATTCAATGTCTGGCCAGCGTCTTAGGACAACGTCATTTTGACGTCCAATAATGACGTTGATATTTGGTTGATTTTAGGTTGGACATTAACGTTGGGTTCTGATGTCAACCTGATTTTCATTTCCAAACAAAATCCAACGTCCCCACAACGTTGGGATGCAACGTCAATAAGACATGCTGTTAAGATTCTGTGCCTGCGGGGGAGTTTTAGCCAGTTTTAAAATTCGAGACAACTGTTTAGCAAAATTAATTTTGCATGACTTTGCCTAAAATGTACACACCAGAAGCACACAAATAACTTCCGTTTCTCAGTTTACAAATGTATGTGACCAGAGGACTTTATCCAGATCATTTGTCATTTCTGTCTTGATGTTAGATACAAATGTAGAAATCTGCAGTTATACTCATATGGTACCTGTTGATCGATATCAATAGTCCTAATTATACTATGTGTAATGTGCATTAGTTCTTGAGTGATTATTTCAATGCATTACTGAGATAATATAAAAATACTCCATTTTAGACAAATAAAACCATTTTGTATGCTTAATATAAACTTGTCAGTATTTGATTGCACGCAACACACATTCACACTGTTCACACACCAAAAAAAAAAAAAAGATAAAGCAGCCAAATTGTCCATCAAAAATAACATTAATAAAAACAAGTTTCCAACAGCAAGAACATGTTTTATAGAATGAGAGCAATAAATTATCACATAATTTCTCTGAATTAGTTCTGCACTGAAACCTCATACATATATACAAATAAAACTTCATACAATGAATCATTTTAAATATAGGAACTTCTCTTACACACACATACTGATACAATTTTACAATTACAATTTCTTTCAAGCCCCCTCCCCACCCTCAGGTCCGTAAAATGTAAACAATGGTTCCCCTTCCCAGCCAGATATTGATACCCCAGTCCAGTGCAGAGTAAATATGGCATATTTATATCAGCTAATATATACATTCAGGTTTATACAGCATCATTCAGCTAAGTGCAGACATGCAACACGGGGCACGGTGGCGCAAGACATCAGCATGTCCAGAAACCAGAACACGCATCTCAAAACTACTGGATTGATTTTTATTTTATTATTTTTTTTAACATCATACATCTCTGCTTTTATTTGTGTAGCATGCCCCAGCACTCAGGACTTTTAATACAAGCACAAGAGCAAAGCATTAGAGTTAAAACGAAGAAAAACTGCCCATTATAAGCGAAAATCGTGAAATATAGTGAACGGCCCTCTCGATTCAGATCACACCACAGCTTGTGGGGGAAATGGACTTCCTGTTTGTCTACAAGGGCCTTACGATTTCTAGTTATTGATAACGCTAGCATATTTGAAGTACTGGAATTCATTACCTGAATAAACAGCATTGTAGTTTGACCATGTGTAGGCAAGTAAAACTAAAGAACAAGATAAGAGCTGGGCCTAGCAGCAGAGATATTTATTTTCACCCTTGTAGGACTTGTTACAATTTTGTTAGTATAAAAATAACTCAAACACATCACTATTGTGTAATACTGTGCATGATTGCACTTAATGGTGAGAGAACGGCCCATTTTGGTTGTCAAAGAGGGGAGGTGAGGAAAGTGAAAGGGACTGTTTGGAAGGACGCAGATGGTTTTGGAGCTTTGGATCCTAGGCACTGATGATCTTTAACTTGTGAATGTGCAAAATTAGAAACTTTCAGCAATAAGATCTTCACATTTAAAGATGCTGTTAAGCTTCCCAGTGTGAATGAGTGTGTGAATATAGGTCCCCTAAACACGCGTTTCGATAAAAAAATAAGAGGGCACTGACACTGGACATGCAACTCGGCGTTAATTCACAATATTACAGGAGCGAGTTGCTCAAGTGTGTATGGCTTCTGGCAATGACAAGTTTTACACCAATCATACAGCTTTTATGTGGATAATATAGTTTCAAAAACTTGCTGCAAAACATTTACCTGAAATCAGCAGTCCAATTAGTTTGCTAAACATTGATTTTACGTGAGAAAAAAAAGCTAGCCTGTTCATCTAAAAAACAAAACAAAACAAAAAAGCTCTTAGAAAACACTCGGCACGGCACTCTGCTAAAACATATCCAGGTATCATATTAGTAGTAGCTTTTACACCAAAAATAGCAAGAATTATATCAATAGTATTTGACATCGTAATAGTAATAAAAGTCGTCCTTTAAAATCCCCCATATCCAGATGTTCCTTTTAAAATTCGATTACTTCTAGAGATTTATTTGACTGCTGAAACTGTACAAAACCAAGTCCATAAGTACAGAATTCATTTGAAGCTTTCGACAACGCTATGAACATCCTGCTCCTTCAACAGGTCATCAAGAGGAAAACATCCAGGTGTTAACAAAGCATAATTACTGATCCAGAACCTCCAATGACAAACCTTTTCAGTAGGCACTAAGGTTATGCAATGAATTGCCGAAAAAAAGTTTCATTGGTCAGAGAATTATGAGCTTTACTCTAAATAAAAGTGAAATGGCAGAGCTAAAAGGGAAAGAGAAATGCTGAGGTAACAGGTGGCAGGAAATAAACAGAGACAGCACTGATTTTCAGTCTTTTCCAGTCCTGATTGCTTGCTATCAGTCACGACTCCTTTGTGTATGATGTATTTAGGTTTGTTTACCTAATAGTGTTTCATAACAGCAAAAAAAAAATTAATAAAATATTTAGCAAATATATTCTCATTCTACACATTCTGTTTAGTAACCGAAAAGGCGCAAATGACATCATGACTTCACTGAGGTCTTTAAAAAAGTGTTTTTACTGTTATGGCTGACTTATTGCAAACCTGATGCCCAGCTTCTTCAAGACAAAAAACAAGCAAAAAAAAAAACATTCTTCAAATAGTTTTAAAATAATGATGATTTTGTTTTAACTGTGTAGAAGTTTCCACTCATCACTTCACTCACAAGGCGAAACAAAAGTCTTTTAACAGAATTACAAAAGTGTTTGGCATCCCTCTAAAAGCATGCTGGCGCTTCTTATATGTTGAGGAATAACTCTGACAATTCTGAGGAATGTATCAAGCAAATATTTTCTGACAGACCCTGAAATGATTGTCATCTGAGACGCATGGAAACTTAAAAGACTACGTATGGAATTCTTTTATATTTTGCACTCATTTTTTTCTGGTATCCTTGTTGAGTGTTTAAAGAGTTCACTATTGTCACCTTGTGTATAGTCAAACTTGGTCTTTGAAATTCCAGTCTTAAATTGGCACCCCCTTTCTCCCTGTAATCTCTTCCTTTGGCAGCGATGCACGTAATATTCAACTCTCAAAAAACACTTCATCTGCTTCACCATTGTCCCGTTTAGGCTTCTCAGATCTTCCGTCGGAGATTTGACGCTGTTACACAACCCTTGTTTGGAATGGCGGCGAACAGCAAGAGGTCGCTCAAGCTAGCAATGAGCATGTAGCCGGCTAGGTTTCCTGCTCTTACACATGAGGAAAGCTGATGTGGAAGTAACAGAGTCTGAGTTTGGTGTGCTTCCTCCTGCCTGTGCTCCGGCTCCTTCGCGTTAGGACCCTGCGCCCTCTGCCGCGGCTAACCCTCACACCACCGTGCTGATACGGTTGATAGGCTTGGATTTGGAGCTGCCGACCGTGCTGCTGTTGCTGGCTCCACTTCCTCCTCCGCCCCCTGGGCCGCCCGACTGCGCCCCCATGGGTCCAGGGAGCTGTGGGGCCAGCGGGGAGAGCGGGGTGAGAGGCGTGAGAGGGGTATGTGGGGACGATGGAGGAGGTAATGGGGAGTGTGGTGGGGGAGGTGGGATGGATGATAGGGGCGGATACTGTGGTATGTAGTGAGAGACGCCCTGCGGTATGTGCCGGGCTGTGATGGCGGATGGTGCCTGAGGGGGCGGTGAGAAAACGAAGTGAGTTTGGCCGGAGTGATGGAGTTCGGGGTGGGGACTGTGGACGTGGACGAGATGGTTGTGGGTATGAGAGTGACCGTGGGAGTGGGCGTGAGGGTGGGGCTGAGAGTGAGACAGGGTAAGAGGAAGCTTGCCTGTAGGTCCAGGCACTCGTGCGAGGCGTATGGGATTTCCGTGCACGTGGTAGAAGTTGAAAGGGCCGACGGGAGAATGGGGTGAATGCGGGGACAGAGGCGGAGGGGTGCAGGCCATGTTGCCATAGCGGCCTTGCTGCATAGCGTGGTGGGACAGTTGCTGCTGGAGCTGGGGGTGCGAGGGAGCGGCCGGTCCACGCCTTGGGAGGGACCCTCGTTGTAGCGTGTGGTGCATAGCGGGAGGATGGCCTGAGGGAGGGTGCATAGAGGGAGGATGGACAGAGGGAGGATGCATATTGGTTGGATGCATAGCGGGAGGATGGATATTGGGTGGATGCATAGCGGGAGGATGGATATTGGGTGGATGCATAGCGGGAGGATGGATATTGGGTGGATGCATAGCGGGAGGATGGATGTTGGGTGGATGCATAGCGGGAGGATGAATATTGGGCGGATGCATGGCGGGAGGATGGATGTTGGGGGGATGCATAGCAGGAGGATGGCCAGGGGCGCCCACTTGCATGTGGTATCGGTGGTGATGGTGGTAGGGGGGTGGTGGCTGGCCAAAGTTGTTGTGACAGTACTGAGCGTGGAGCGCTTGAATCTTGGATGGCCCACCGGGATCTGACTGGCTGAGGGCGGAGGGAGAAGGAGGCGGAGGTCCTCCTGTTGTAGGAGGTCGTACGGGGGCTGGGTAGTGTGGCCCGGGGGGAATAAGGGGAGCAGGGGGTTTGCCGCGCTTGCTCCCAAACAGGGAGCCCAGGAATGAACCGGAATTGCTCCCTCCAGAACTGCTCCCCGGCCCCCCACCTCGATCGCTGGTGCCAGAGCCCCCCACCATATTGCCTACTGCATTGTGAAGCTGCCCCGGCCCACCCCCCACCCCTACTCCGGGGCTCAGGATGGGGCGGTGAGGCCGGTAGTCTTCCAGCCCGTAGCAGCCGGGAACGGCACCCCCCATGGGTAAGCGTTGATGCGGCTGAGGACTGTTAATGATGGATCCCTACAGTGAGCATAAAAACACAAAGCTTGACAGTCATGACACTGGAATTCTGAGTAGATCCACATTGTTGAAAGCAATAAAAATGACAGGAATTCCTTGATCAAAATAACAAAATTGAAATTGTTGATCAACAATGACATAAATATTTCATATAGAGATAGTTTAACAAAAATGAAAATGATTCTTTTCAGCTTATAGAATACATCATGCTCAAGGATACAATCTCTCTCTCTCTCTCTCTATATATATATGTTTACTTTTAAGAGACACATGCATGCACACAAGACATCTAAAGCACAAAGTTAAAACTGTCAGCGTCTTCCTATACAAGCCACACTGCAAATAAATAACGAAGCAAAGCTTACTTTTGTCCTCAATCAAGACATGCATTTAATAGCACCAGCATTCAAACACTGATTGTGTAAATATTTTTTTAAAGCATTAGTTATTTGTAGGGCCAGACAAAATCTGCGGACATTTTTTGCTCTTTCTGTGCAGAATATTG